TTAATTTAACAGGTTGGGTTTGGTTCGAGTTGAACCGACCAAAATGTTATTAAACCCCCTAACCGAACCAAATTTTCGGTTCTTAAAAAATTCAACCTAACCCAACTTGAAAAAATTTCTAACACAACTCAACTTTTACAGTTTGGGTTGAGTTTTCCGGGTTGCTCAAGTCACCAGGTTTTTTGAACACCCTTGGTATTTTACATGTAAAGTCAACAAAGGTGTCAATGTAGGAGTGGCATCATTCATTCATTTATTATTATTTTTTTTTTATAAAAAATAAAAGCTGCACTTGCCCCAAGGCCCAAACTGGACCAAAGATTGGATTCAAACATACAATCTTTGGGTAGGTGACGGGACCATCCCTTGGGGGCGAGTGGGATGATTCATTATGCATTCTTTAATGCTTTATTCTCAATTTTATTTTGGTAATGGATGCAAACTTCTTCATTCATATGATGTGTGCCTCATCTTTAATTGTTGTTGTGGAGATTCCTGGGGGAGATGCTTGTTTCTTCTCCCTTTCATGGTAGTGCTGAAAGAGTAGGTGTTTTACCATATCTGATATATGTTATGTCACAAAATTTGTAACATAGTAAAGCTCTTTTAGGATTTTATACCATAGTATTGACGTTTTTAATTATTATTTTTTGTTTTAAAATTTTAAACTCCTTTTCCCTGTACTGTCAAATTGAAATTTAATTTTTAATTCAAGCTGCACCCATGGCTTCAGTATCCTGCTTCTGCTTGCCTTTGGTTCCAATCACATATTTAGCATATCTTTCATTAAGATGTAAAAGGATCATTCAATTTTTATTAGTGTTTTCAAGGTGCAAAGGATCATTCAATTTTTATCAGTGTTTTCAAGGTGCACCTAGGCGCTCGCCACAAAAGGCGAGGCGTTTTGGCTCGAGTGTGCCGCACCTTGAATAGCATCGAGGCGAGTGCCTTCAATCAGCAGCTCGCTTTTGTGCACTTTGCCTTGCCTTGGTGCGCCATCGCCATAAGGCAAGGCAACCCTCTTTTATTTTTTATTTGTTACAATGTTAAAAATCAACGAAAGAAACCCTAAAAAAATGAAAACGCACACCCAAAAATCGAAATACCCACACCTGAAAGCCTTCCTCCTTTGCTGCTACTTCGTCCTTTGCATGGAATTGAGTCTTTTCCTATTCTCTTTTACATTGGCTCGAGTCTTTTCCTATTCTATTTTACATTTTCAAGCCACGTTAACTGCACACAATTGCCTTGCCATCTGGTAGCAAAGGCCGGATGGCAGTGAATTTTTTATTTAAGTTGATAGTTTAAATTTTATTTAATTTTAGTATTCTATTTAACCACTAATTTTACTTCATTTTTTTAAAATTTATATTTATATTTAAATTTTTTCTTAATTATTTGAGTTAAATTTTGTTGGCACATTAAATAGTTTTATAAATATTTTCATCTAGAGTATTTTTTTAATATGTAAAATTGCTATAGATGATATTTATTTATTATTTAAGTACTCCTCCCTTCACTTGGTGACGCCTTTTTGTCGCCTCTCGCCTTAAGGTGATGATAAGACTTGTCGCCTCAAGGTGTGCCTTGAACTTTGAAAATACTGATTTTTATTAGTATATTTAATCTAATTGGGTTATTTAAAATATTTTAATTTTAGAATATTTTAAATGTTTTTCAAGCTATTGGTTTTTTCATTTCAAGTTCAAAGAGATTTTTCATTGGCACCACCAATATTTACGACAGTAGTGCTTATTGCAGAGTTAGGTGTTAGAAGAGGTTACTTTAAGTAAAAGTAAAACTGATATTCTAAAAACTGTAGGTTATTTTGATTTATGATAGCTCTATCATGTTCCATGTTTGTCATGGTGCTAATTCTGTTGATCTCGGTATTATTTCATTTCACTAGATGGGGTAAGTGTTAGTGGTGATGACTATTGTAACTCTGATGTGGATTGGCAAGAATCTAGGGAAGAGTGAAGTTGGAACTTTCAGGGACGAGCTTTCTTCTCTGTTTCATCCCAGCAATGGGGAAATTAAAGAAATTTGGATTCTGGAGGATGGGATCGATTCTTCTCCTCAAATTTAGAAAACTCCGATGAGGTTAAGTATGTAAAAGAGAAATTAGGAGATGAGGGTGCTGGTTTTTTGAAAAAATCCAGAATAATTTTGGTTCCTATTTCAAATGGCGAGGAAAAAGTAAAAAAGAAGAGTTTGCTGAAGCCTAAAGTCGGTAAGAAGAAGCAGGAGCAGTGATGTTTTGGTCTTGCTTTTGAGCTTGGCTTCCTTAATTCATTGTTTTTGTTCTCTTTGGCGGTCCTGTCGTCGCTGCACTTGAATCAATTTTTGGTTCATGGTTTTCCATTTGGGGAGTGGATCTTTTGTAAGCTTTTTGTTTAGCTTCTTCATTAGGTGGCTCAGCTTCTGTTTTGCCAAGTTCCTTGGGCTGCTTTCTTAGGATTTTTGTTTGGTTGTTTCTGTGTTTAGGTTGGTCCTAAGCATAAGGGTTTTTGGTTTGTATTGGTTCTCTTTGGTATTTTGGCTTGGCTTAGAGTGTGTATGTATTTTTTGGTTCTTGGTTGGGTTGTTTATGCTCTACTTTTGGAAGTTAATGTAACTTGCTCAGTGTTTTTTTTTTTCCTTTTCAATGAAAAATTCTTTTTGTTGTCAAAAAAAGAAAAGAAAAGATGGGGTAGCTTCACGCAACTTTATGATATTCCTAAGCTTCTCTACGATCTCATTGGACACCTGGCACAAGTTCTTTTTGTTAACACAGTTGCTCCTTAATACATTAATGTATGTGTGTGTATCATGTTTCTGTGGTATTCAGTATTCTAGAATTTGCACCCTTAGTATACTGCAGTGGCCAATGAGTTTATTCGTATTCTCTCTTCTATCTTATTTCTATGTCCATAATAATTGTTATGATTCTAGCAACACTGTTTTCATTGGTTCCATTCCCTCTTTAGACCATCCTTATTAATGAGCTGCCTTCCATGAAAATGTTTTGGTCAGAACTGCTTCCACTATAGGCAGCTGACATACGTTGCTGGTGTTCATTGACTTTATTTTATCCTTTGGAGGAGAGATAGAATTTATACCATTGTAAGGACATCAATGCTGGTACTGATTGAATTTATACTTCTACTCCTTGTAATACCACCACCTTATTATAACTTGCAGAATTTTCAAGACATCCTTAGCATCATCGTTACTTTACAGTCCATGACATAAAAAACAAGTTTGAAATCAACTTTATTTTCTTCATCTTATGAAAAATATAAGTCAATTCTTCTAGGCATTTGAATGCAGTCCCTGTGACTTGGGTAATTGGGCATGAAAATACCATTTCTTGCTTAGCTATGAGCAATAATTTTTTATATGCAAAGGTAAAAGATCAAAAGATTCAGTTTGTATAAATTTCTGCAGATATCACTCTAAGCTTTAGCTGCAAAAGATCCGAAAGTCAAAACTTGTATAGTCTATATTTATCGTTATTTTAATTTTTATGAAACAATCAATTAAGTGGTTGTTTGTTTCTTCAATGAACTACTAACACATCTTAGTGGATATTATCTTAGGTTAATCCTCGTCTCGAAGAGTTAAAGTCATATAAGTTACAGATGGACGAGTCAGAAAATCTTGTTAAGCAGAGTGATCATGGTAAGCGAAAATTGGGTGGAGAGGCATCCAATGTAGAGTCTCCTGCCAAACGACGAAAAGATGTTGTACATGAGACAAAGAAGGTTGACGGAAAGGGTAAAGGTCAATCACAAAACTTAGATGATCAAACAGGAGATAGCAAAGCAAGAGTTAAAAAATCTAATGATGCAAGTGACCAACAAATGAAAGATTCCGTCCAGGAAAAAGGGAAAGTATATAGTGACCAATGCACTGCATTCATCTCCAACCTCAACCTCAAGGCAAGTTATTCCCAAAGCGCCTATCTAATTTTAGTTCATTCTCTGCATCTTCATGGATGAGCACATGGTTAATGTTGCTTCACTGCAACTCTGACAGGCAACTTATGAGCACTTGCGGGACTTCTTTGAAGATGTTGGTGGAGTTGTCGCAGTTCGAATATTGCACGATAAGTTTACTGGAAAATCACGGGTCTTCTCTTCCTCTCCCTCCAAGATTTCTATTCATCTGTTATCTTGTTATATAACTTGATGACAAGTTCTTATTAATTGCGAACTGTTATTTTTTTTTGGGAAATTTAGAATGCTTGCTTCTAATTGTGATAGAAGATTTTCGACAATTTGGTTGTTGATATTATTTATATGTTTGGAACTTGGAAGGACATATAGATGTCTTTCATGGAATACCGAAAATGCTAATACTTAGCAATGTTGGAAGTTAGATAGGTGGGTTTGATGGGGTTTTTGATCTCTTAGTTTCCTCTTAGCCTTCTTTTGAGTCATAAGGTCTATTCTCTTTCTAATTTAACTTTTATGAACTGAAAAAAAAAAAAAAAGAAAGAATCCTACCACTAATGTCTGTTTTGTTTACTTCTTTATCTATATGATAGTATTCATTTAGTCTTTTTGAACCAGAAACAAATTTTTCATTGATAGATGAAAAAGAAGAAAATGTTCCAGGATACAAACTCCAAAAGAGAGCAAAAAAGGACTAAACACACAACAAATCTCAAAAAATTACAATGAGAATAAAACATTAGAGAAGAAAACACGTAATACCTTAACAAAACGACGTGCTGAAACAACCAAAACCACTTCCTTCAATCTGCAAAAACTGCACCAATATATTGAATAAGAGAAAAGCACATCCAAAAATTTTCAATGGACAAGTTTTGCAAGGAGAACCAACGGTGTCCATAATCCAGTACCCAATTCTACTCACAGACCCTTACAAGTTGCCACAATAGAAAAAAGATATATATTGACAAAAAAGAGGCAAAGAAACAGCGTACCCTCCACCCAAAGAAAACAAGTGGTTATAAGAGCCTTCCAATCATACATAATCATGAGGAGGCTATAAGTACGAAAGAATTTCTTGTGGTTAGAGTACCGTCATAATGTTGTACACTACAAAAAATAATTTCCGTAATTGACTCAATTCCAAGGGATCTGAGCCTTGTTTTTAAAACTCATGCCCGCAAGACATTCTAACATCCAATCACATACCAGATTAGGGGAGACAAACCAATAAACCAAACTCTTTCAGCAGAAAAATCAGCCCTAAGAGCAAAAGGACAATGATAGAAGATAGGGTCAATTCAGTGAAAGCCTTAATTTACATATTGTGGTCCGAAAGGAACCAAAGGATCTTCGAAGACAAGCAGAGGGATTGGTTTGATTGTTTAGATATGGCCAAGTTTAAAGTTTCTCAGTTACCACGATTTGTTCTTCTTGGGAGGCCTTCTTAGGGCTTTAGTTGTTTGCCTTTATTTTATGTATTTATTTTTCTGCTTTACACTTTTCACCCCCTTGGGAATTTGTATTTTTGAACGTCTCAATTTTGTTTCATATATATTAATGAAAAGTTTGGTTCTTATTAGGAAAAAAAAAAGATATGGTCTTAGGATTCATCATTCTTGGTACGAGGACAACAAACTGTGGGAGAAAGCACCCAATTTGGGAATTATTTATGGATCTTCTCAGCTATTTCGAGACTTCTATAAGACAGACAGAAGAAATATTTTTACTTTTTTGGGAACCTTTAATTCCAAAAAAATACTCACCTAGGGAGCTCTCAGCTTGTTGTTAGATTTGGTAAGATGGAGGAAAGCTGATTTGGTGAATTTACCAGTAGATTATAGTGACCACAACACCTTTTCTTTTAGCCTCTCCTCATTGGATCATGGGAAGCTTCTTTGTGGGCACAACTCTGTTTGCAATTTTTGTGTCGAAAATCCTTCTGCTCACTCCTCAAGTCCCATACTTGGTTATCAACATTCCAGCTCAAATTTTAGAATATGAATAAATAATAAAATTTACTATAACCCATCCGTTTAAGTTTTTGGCTTTAGTGGTCATTTAACATGCTATCTTGTGTTTGAACCCTTGAAATGTCATTTCCTTTTCATTTAATATTGATATTCCCTCTTGGTCACTACTCACGGACAACTGGAGTCATTTTTGTTGTTCTTGTGGCTCCTCTATTTTGGATCTGCCTACATTTTTGTCAGCCCATTTTTCTCTATATTTTCATTCTAAATAAAAGTGATTTTCTAAAAGGCTGAAGAAAAGCCTCTAACTTGTTCCGTGTGAAAACTATTGGAGGTCACAAGCCACAGAGAGGGTTGCGAGTTTTAATTGGAAATTGAGGAGATATGTAAGTGTACAAGCTACAAAGGTTCTTTGCTATTGTCGATTAGAATCTTATTCCTTGCATTTCTATTAGCTAATTTTTGACTTATAGACTTATAGGCCAGTTTTATTTTTGACAGAGAAATGGCTTACTTGCAAGTTGATTCTTAAATTTGGTGGCATGTTTGATGAGCCAAGGAGGTGGATTTGTTCGTTATTTTCATGAATAAACCTTTTCCTGTCTAAATGAAATTTATCTTCCTCTCTTATTTAGGAAGTGTTACTCACAGTAAATCTCCAGAATGAATTATTATTAAATTCAAGGCCTCTCTTTGGAGTTCTTTATCTCCTCTATTTAAACCTTACTCCCCCAGTTTGATAAATTTAAATTGGGGTGTTTTTATTACATCTTCCTGAATCTTTGGCTTTATTTGCAATTTTACTTGTACTTCCACTCTTTCGAGAGTTTGTATCTTTGAACAATTTTGTTCCTTTTCATTAATTCAATGAAGAGTTAGTATCTTGTTAAAAAAAAGAGTGAATTATTATTGTGTTTTTTTCATAAGAATCGATGCACTTTTCTTTAAGAGAATTGAAAACTGCAAGAAAGACCAAGGAATATTAACATATACTATTTGGTTATTCTTATTTCCCTTCATAACCTGCTATTATATTTCTTATTTTTGGATTTAGTGTATTTCTGTTTGATTGGTGAGTGCATTAACATATTCATGTGCATTTCTAAGATTATTTGATCGAGCTCTAGCACCGTTACAAGGTTGTAAATTGATGACATGGTTTTTTGTAGTACTGATGTATATCTACCTTATTGATGGGTTCAATTGTTTATTTGTAGGGACTAGCATATGTAGATTTCTCTGATGATGCACATCTTGATGCTGCAGTTGCAAAAAACAAGCAGTTGCTGCTTGGGAAAAGGATAAGCATTGCACGGTCTGATCCTAAGAAAGGTATAGCTTAAAAAAAGATGAAAATTAGATAACATCCAATCAAAATTAGTATGCACTGTCATCAAATAAGAAAGTTAAATAAGACATACTTTTCGTTGATCATATCATATGTTGCCAACTTTTTAATTTGGAAAGTATACTTATTTTTTGTTCATATTTACTCAGATGAAAAGTTACGGATGTATTATGCTATGAATGAGGAGTCACTACATTAAATGCATACACCTACCAGCCTCACTTGCATGTCAGCCAGGGTTCTATTGCCATATTTGGGATATTGTGATAGGAAATCTATAGCTGCCTACTGTTAGTGGGAGTAGTAGGAAATGCCATGTAGATGTATTCAGTATATGGTTTTAGAATCTTAAATCACTACTAAATTCAAAAGCTTGAGTCAATAAATTATAGTTATTTATACATCTCTCTGAATGGGACAAAAACCAAGAACTCTGTCTCTGATTATATCCTTTTGTAGGAGGCCATGCTACAGATCGAGCTGGTGGAGGCAAGAGACCCGAGTCCAGAGGTTTCGGGAAGGAGCCTAGGAAGGCCAAGGAACAGCCAGCGGAAAGGAAGCACGGAGGGGACGGTGTCGAGCTCAAGGGAAAGAACACGTTTGCAGTGCCCAGGAATGTTAGAGCGCTTGGTTGGACAGCAGATAAACCAAAAAATGGGGAACAAGATGATGAGACGCCAAAAACCAATGATGAATTCAGGAAACTGTATTTTAAAGGCTGATTTAGCTTTTTTTGTTGTTGTGACGTAGGTTAGAGTTTCTCCCCTAATATCACAATATCACAAGGGGATTTTTGTTTTTACTTTAGAAAGTACTATTTCTGTGTAGTAAAATTCTGTTTAGGTATACTATGGTATCCTTTTGTTTGGATGCCTGTATTGGGTCTGTTGTATATAGTCCACTTGAGATGTGCACCATTTAAGTTTATTTTCAGGTTTTTTTTTTTTTTTTTATTTGATAAAAACGACAGTTCACTAGATGATGGTGTTTGATTATTCATACTTTAAGACAATGCTTACGAATGTGAACCTATTTTTCAATCACCTAAATTATTTTTATTTTATTCTAATATTGAACCTTAACCAACTGCAAATATAACCCTTTGCTTTCGCTTCTTAATTCACATTCACAACTCAATCTCAAAATCTCAATACTTCCCTATTATCCATTGCATATCTTTCTCAATTTAAATTCATTTTTTTCTATAATTATTTTATCTTATATATATAGATACTTTATATCTTGTTGAATTATGTTATGTAAATAAAAACAGTAGTTGATATCATTTTAGATAATGATGCCATAAATGATTAATAAAACATAATTAAGCTGCCATTAAACTTTAATTTATTCTTTCAAATAGTTTACATCAATTTTCATGATCTTGTTTTGACATTCGTTGATATTTCTATAAGTATATTACTTATATTTTTGGTTAGGATGATTAAAGTCATCAATTATAGCTTAATTAAGCTATAATTAAAATCTTATTTACTAATTCAAACAATTTTCATTATTTATTCTAAAATTTCTATCAACGTCCCTTGCTCAAGCATCTGCCCTTTTCCTCAAGTTGATGATCTCCTTCTCCTCTATTTTATTTTGGGAAATCCTGAGTAGTGGCTACATACAAGACACAAATTTGGATTTCCGAAAATTACGGAAGGTGTAATTTTTTATTTTTACCCCACCTACATCCACTTGCATCATTTGACAATTATACCCCACCCAGTTTCAGGAGCCACATTTTTTGTTTCAAACTCAAAACTAAATCCCTAAAATCTCTACCTTACATAAATGGAAAATAAAATTTAAACTAATTTAGATCTTATTTCAAAATTAAATCAATCTCTCCTTGCACAATTAGGATTTAATTCATTTGTCGATCAACCTTAATTGTTGTCATCCTGTCTCACTAATCTTCTATTCCATTGCAGGTCCTCTCGCTAATCTTCATCGTGCATCAATCTTGTTTTCCATGGAAATTCCTCTAAAATGAGTTAAACCCTAATCGACGTTGACTAAGGCCGTTTACGAAGTGTCACATGAGTGAATCTGATGGCGGTGAGTGGGAATGAGTAGAGGAAGGATAACGTCGGGCGTGGTCAGTCCTTCCGACCACGACGTAACGCTGATAAATAATAACATTGGCCACCATGTACAAGACAAAGAGTGTACCAATGATCTCCAATTTCTAGGCTATGCGCAATCCACTCTTTTTCAAAAGCAAATATACTTTTGATCTTCCTCCTACTGCTATGACTATTTTTGGTCGTGAAAATGTAAATTTTAAAGAATATTTTAGCAACCGGATGGTGTTGGCCCTACTTTTGTCGAATTACATGTCACTCAAGTCATGTAGACGCACATTCGCAAACTCTATAGAGACTCTTTAATGGGGAGCAGACACCCATTTTAGATGCACCATGTGTTCTTCAAAAAATAGAAAAAACATAAGAGAATGACAGTACTTGTAAACTCAACAAAGATACTGTAATTGGAAGCACATTCGATTGACGTTGTTCGTAATGACCATAGGCAAGTGACATCAAACAATGATAAGTGAATGTGCGTAGACAATGTTAAGCATGAACAATGGGAGACATTGTAGTCTACATAAATTATTAAGTGAGTCACTTGAACAATCGTATGCTCTCATCTCGTCTTTTGCAGCCAGACTGATCGATAAAAATCCCAGTATCGTGTGTCTCTACTTACTCTGTTTTTATTCTATCTATACATGTATTTACCCTATATATGTCTTAGCTACATCTCCATAGTTTTAAAAACAATATTTGATTTTTCAATCCTATTTTTGTACTTATTTTTCACTTTTCTAGATTGATTTTACGTTTTGTTAGGCACTTTTTCATATTCTTCTACATCTTAATCTTTTTTTATTTCAAAGTATTCATTTAAAAGATTTTATTTTGAAATTTTGAAATTTATAAATCTAGATTTTATTTTTGAAATTTTGATCTTTAAAAGTTTGATTCACTTTATTTCTTAAGATCAAGCTGTAGCAAAGAGTTATTTCAATGGTATTTTTGCCACAAAATTTTAGAGTAATGGTAGGATAGTTTTAGCTATTTTGGTGGGAGGATATATTTTTCCACATTAAATTCTAGCGTTGAGTTATAATTGTCTGGTAGCCATTTTTATGATATTGGATATTTTTTGCCATTTTTCAACTCACACTCTTTAATATAATATAAGCATTCCTCTAGTTGTCGATTAAAATTAAGGAGAGATATAAATACTCTAAAGCAAGGGCTACCTCATTATCATCATTCCTATGGAGAAAGTTAAAAACACGAAAAAAGAAAAGAAAAGGAGGAATACTATTACCCAAAAAGAGAGAGAGCTGACCTAAGGAAGACAATAACAATGGTGGTTGGAGTAGTTACCTAATGGATAAATCCCTATTCCTTATTCTATTCTTCTTCTTTCTAGCCCGAAACGAAATGGGTTGCATCTTTTCTTCTTTTTTTTTCGTTGTTCTATGTCAAGAACGGGTTACATTCATCACGTGGGTTATGGATTTTTGCTTGTAAACTTTGATTCGCTGGTATTTGAATTCGTTTTTGTTTGATTAAAGCTCGTGCTTCATTTTAATGTTTGAAATGACTGATCATCATGCTTGGACTGATAGTTCTATTAGTTTTCGGAAGAATTTGGTAGGACATAAAAAGTTTTAATATGTACTAGATCCATCTCCAACATATAGCGTGGGTGCTTAGAGATCAGACTCACCTAATATAACTTTAAACCGTGATTACAGTTCGTCAATTCAAATGAGAGTTTGGTTAATGTAAAATCTAGGTAATCTATGAAGATATCAAGTCTGTTTGGCTAGACGCTCCAACAACTTCATTGCTAGAGCATTGGTTAGTAGCAATATTGCAAAAGAACATAACTCCTATTATTTCTTCTTGTTTGATACTCATTTTATTTCGTTCTGTGCTATGTTCTGTTTAATTGTTAATTTAGTTTCTTGATAAAATATAATTATTTGGTTACCCACTTTTTGAGCGAAGCTTACAACATTTTTGTTAGATAATCCCTATGTAGACGAACTTTTTATCACTTGCCGCAACTTCACAATGTAGGGTGTTGAACCAAAACACTTGTGCTTCCGCCACCATTCGCCACCGCAGTCACCAACGTCCTCCACAACCATCACCATTCAATGACCGTCAGCTACCGCCGTCTTGCGAAGCGATTGCCATATTTCTTAGCTTGCACCGCAATCGCTAACACCACTGATTGTTGTTTGCCACAGTCTGCTAACGTCCTCCACACGCCACCACAACTGACATACGCCATGCACCCAATTATAGTGACTAGGATTTTCTATTACAATGTGTTTGCTTGCAGGGTTAGGTTTCAAATTTTGTGAGTGATTAAGAATGGAAATTTATTGTTTTACAAAGTGTGTTTTGGGGACAGGGTAATGATCAGGGTCATTAGTGATATTAATAGAATAGTAAATGTGTGTTAGTAATTAGATAAGAAATCGGTTAGAAGGAATTTGTTATAAATAAAGTGAGAGGCAACCGATGGAGGGAGGCGTTAGTGTAGTTTAGGCTCAAGTGTTCTCAAGAGGAGAGGATCCAAGAGTGCTCGATCAGTGAGCTATTACGCACTCTTTCAAGGGTGGCTGCTTCTAGGCAAACCTCCTAACTGTCACTGCACCCCTACCTCCTTTATCACTGAGTGGTCATTTAGGGGCCTTAGCAGGTGATCCAGTGTAATGTTTAAAGCTATGCTCAAGAATACCAAATGTGCAATGAAGTAAAAATATAAAGATTCGCTGCTAAAACTGTGAAACTATATATTATAAACGAAAACTATAAATGATTCCAAGAAATTAACACAACCTACAGATGTAGGGCAAGGAAAATACAGAAAATGGGTTAATAAATATGGAAAAGACGGGGGAGACTCCTTAGCTCTCACTCAATCCCAACCCACACTCTAGCATGAAATTGATTGTTATTACTCAACTCAACACGGTTCCCTTCTAAGATACCTAAACAGAAGCTAGCAAACTGAACAAAGTGGCCAACAATGCTTAGTAAGATGAAAAAAATTAGAACAACTCTATTTAATAGCAAAATGAAATTAGTTAGAGTATCGATTGTTCAGAAGTTATAGTATGGAAATCTCTTCCAAAATAGGGTTTAGTTCATGAGAAAGAGGCAAAACGAAATGAGTAAGCAAAAGATACAACCCATTTCAAAGAAGAAGAAAAAAATGCATAATGAAAAGACACCAGCACGCGAGGACCAGTAGCAGCTTCTCTCTGTCGTCAGCTCTCATTCGGAAAATAGTATGGTTCTGTTCCTTGTCTTTTCCAACATGAAAGGAATGTTCTCCTCTTGGGATCTGTGTCGGCTAGGTCATTCTTTCCCTTTTATATCGGGCCTAATTTTAGGGCATCCAGTTGGAAAACGTACGGGCACGGTAAAAATCCTCGCATGGGACGATTACTGTACTGTGAACGCATGCTCCAGCTTCGCAGACTTCCTGCTTAAGAATGCTTCATCATTTGTTTTCTGGGCTTTGTGCTTTTCTCATGTCTTAGTCGTCATATTTCAATTTTGAGCAAAAGAACGAATAATAGAATAAATCAACAAAAACATAAGCCAAAGTATCCAATACAAGCACTACAAGAATTCAGGGTTTCGGCGACGACAAATTTAGTCGCTAAAAGGTCAAAATTCGTCCCCGAAAATGTTTGGTGACGAAATTAAGTCGTCGCCAGAATCATCGCCGTTACCCGATCACGAGAGGGTTTCGGCGAAGACTTCTATTTTTCGCCGCTGAAGGCCACCTTCGACGACGACATGTATTTGGTCGCTGAAGATATTTTCGGCGATGACATGGATTTGGTTGCCGAAGGTACCTTTGGTGACCAAATCCATGTCGTCGCCGAATCTAGCCTTCGGCGACCAAATTTAGATTTCGTC